GCATGAAATAAATCACCGGCGCTCTTCATTTTACAATGGTTAAGTGAACTCAAACCTACAATGGTTAAGGGAGCTCTAAAGTGAACTCAAACCGATGGCACTCAGAATTTTGTCAGAATTATATCTCGGTTGTACAGAGGTAGCAGGGATTCTGCGATTGTAGACCGTAGATCAAAATGGGTGGACAATTTGCATTAACACGACCAAGCCATGTTTGTCTGGATATGTTCAACAGTTAGTTAGAATTGATAAGTGGTACAAACGATGAAACGCAGTTTGACATGCGCACTCGCATATCTGAAAACTCGACACCAGGCGTTGCAGTCTCCATTGGCCGCGCGGTTCCGCGGCTAATACGAGGTCGTTGACCAGCAGGTGGACGAAAATGATGAGACATCTGAAAAGTACCTTAGAACGTTTTTGGACCCCAACGTACATTAGAGATCTTATGGCGTATATTTTACACGTGCTGTTTTTAGATTGATAACAGTAACGTATTAGTCTTTACAGCACCGCAAAGTAATGCTGGAATGTGGTGGTAGAACTGAAGAGTACGGCAAAATACTTATTTTTTCGTGTTACTGTAACTATTAGTCTGTCCAGAGAACAACCTCAAAGTTGTGACCAATATTTTTCTCGGTGTAATCTTTGTACTGCACGAATTATTGTAAAAGACATTCCAGAAATATTGTGTTACCATGGTCATTGTTGCGCAGTCGGCGACCCGTCCCCTGACGTTGCCTGCAGTGGGCAAACGGCCGCTCGGTTTAGCGAAAAACTGCGATCCAAGCCATCGCTATCCTTGCTCCCTGAGATTACGGGCGTGTCGCTGAGGCTTTATGACACTCAGATTGCTTAAGAAATATGGCGCCGCCAGCCTTTCACCCTGGCGGGAAGGGCGGGCGCCGTGGGGAATCGAACACTATGCCTGTAGTTTCCCAGACGCGCAGTGTTTGCGCAGGCGCGTAAACCACTACACTATCGGCATCCGAACGCGCAGGCTCAACCCTTTTGATGGTTTTTCGCTATTTGATTCTGCAAAACAATGAACGTTCTCAGGGAAGCATGAGATAGCCTTGTGCGTTTTAACTCATTTCTACCCATCTTTTAACACTAACAAGACTCCTTATGGCTTTCCAGGTGAAGGATTACTTTGAGTGCAATAGCACGGGCGCATTAATTGTTCCCAGTCAAAGGCTGAAGGGCCATCCTCGGCACTGTGGACCCCTAACCGACACAGAAGCACACCATTGAGTCAGAACCCTGAACATTGTAAATCGCGGACCCCGGCCTCGTTTCAGCTTGGGAAATGGGTCTCAAGGGCTCAGATGAACATGGAGTCGACTGTTCGATGTTCGTGGTCTCCGAACGACCTGACACCCGCATTGTACTTGGTTCCTCAAATGGTGCAAGAGAACCTCAAGAGGACTATATTCCAGGTCACGACCCTACGGACCGCGATCTTTACGTGACCTACGGCCAGTCCTTCGGGTCCTTATGCCCTGCCACCGGGCGTCGGTCGTCGGTTCCGGTGGCCGCTCGGGCCCCTCTTCGGGCCTCATCGGACACTTCCCTTGGTCGGCTCGAGGCCTTTGCGAGCACATGGCCTTCTGTTAGGCACTGTGGGCCTCGGACAGATACAAGGCCCCTGCCAATGCAAATCGCTGGCTCCGGCTTTGTCCCTGTTTTGGAAAATGGACCCTCAGACCAATGCTGCCGCTGAGCCGACTGCGCGTTACCAGTTACCAGTGGTCTCTGACCAAAATATAGGCCTTTTTCAACTCAGTGGGCCCCTGATTGGCGCGCAGAGCCCCCTGGCTGGCGTTTAAGTGCTCGGCCCTACGGGCCGGAGCCCCTGAATGAGACGTCAGGCTGGTTTTTAAGGCCCCTAGTCGCAGCTTCCGAGGGATCCTTTTGACCCCTCGGAACCTAAGGGGGGGGGGCACGTGCCCCCTTGTGTCCCCTCCCCTTGCCTGCGCTACTGAAGGTACATCGGGGAGAGTATTGCAAAGTCACTTTAACATTCATTAAATCATGATAACGTCATTCAAATCCTGTCATTCCATAAGCCATGAGGCGATCGAGACCAAGAAAATATGATTGCCGAGGCGTTCATATCTAGCGTTCGTGAGCGCAATTTCCAGATATAACGGCCATCAACTGGCTCTCGGTGTTGTGCAAGGTACGAAAACAAGGCAAGGTAACCAAACCATGACGCATTGAGCAGCACATTTACTACACAGGGAATTGTGATGTCTGAAGACCCAAAGAGCATACCAATTGCTATAAGTGAACTTGTTTCAACACCTCTGACGCGTGCTTCAATATCTTCAAATGTGAAACATTCCTTTTAAATCCATTATAGCATTGAACCCCCGCGGTGAGTGACAGAAAGAGGTATCACGCGATGTCGAGGAGGCTGCTTCAGCTTGTGGATGATTGTGAACGTCCATTCATTAGCGCAAACTCTTGGCACACATCCAGTGGACTGCACGGCCACTGCCAATGTATTCTGCCAACCGTGACGTCACGCGACCGTCGACTTCGGGTACGTGCGGAAAGTTCACCAGCAATCTCATGTTAAACAGTAGCATTCGGGCCGTTTTGCTTTCAAAGATCCCGAGTGCTCTGAAAAAGTATGACGCGCTAAGCATCAGGGATTTGACATCATTTTCGCGAAATGGGGCTAAAATGAAATGTGCAGTGCGAATGAATTACTTAAAAGAAAGGCAGTTGTGAAACTGGATAGTCCACGCGGGATGACGCCATCTTTAAAACGCAAAATATTAGGATTTTGATTCCCGAAATTTGTTTTTGTACTGGCCACTCCTTTTATTATTTGCATCTAAAGTTTATTTATGTAAGCTGATATTTTAAGTGATCCAATTATTAGCTGTATTAATACGTTATAAGTTTGTATGTTCAAAAGTAAAACCAGTTCACATTCTTACGTTTTATTATTGGTCCAACTGTGGTTCGGACAATTTTGGGGTGTCATCATGCATTGTTCTTCTACATCTGCATTTACAAGAGGATTGAAATGAGGCATTGGTACCACGGATAGACTATTTGCTCGGGCTATCGTTCTCCCCTGGTTCCCAATGTTTCGGTCAATTAATTCCGGCCGTAGCCAGGTGTTATTTATGGAGTCATGAGAAGAACTGGATGGCCTTTTACTTTCATCCAAGTATGTGTCGCAGCTCGAATGTTCTCTTTGCATTGACTGGGATTGGGGTCTGCGTCACCTCATCGCGGGTCCAGCATACCACCAACTGAGCTGCCGTTTGTCCAGGTGACGTCAGTCGGTAGAAATCTGGACTCGCAACCAAAAGACCCCGGCTCGACTTCCTAAAAAACTAAACCAAACAAAACCAGTCACCCTCAGGACTCAGCGACACCCAATGACGGCCGGAGAGTTGACTGACCGAAACGTTACGAGCGTAACTAGCACACCAGACGAGAACGATGGTCCGAGCAACCATACCATCCGTGGAAATGCAGGATCATGCCATCCGTGGAATTGATTTTTAGACGCTTATTCTTGTTCGCTGTGCGCTCAGATTCTTATTTTAAGACTCTCTCCAAGCTATTAAACGAAGCGTGTTAAACTCTTCAACGTGGATAAATGTATGCAACCACTTGGCACGTGCGCCACGGGGCACATTGGACGCACAAATCGGACACATACAAGATACACTTTTAATTTACTAAAAAGTTGTTAATTTGCTGTCACTCGTACATGACGACCGCAGTAGGCTGAGCAAATTTTAAAACACAATTACCATGCCATAAAACTTTTTTGCATTCGCAACACGCATCCATAGGACCCCAAATCAGATATATCACTCGTGGCAAGCACGCACCTCTGAGTGCATTTGATCGTCACCGGCTTCCATACGTTAATATTCCTGTTTTCGCCATGGTCGACTCAACCTAGTCATCGCATCTCGAGAATGTATGTGTTTCTTGTGAATATGGTATCTGCTTTTGAGTGGGCATATCCGATGCCGTTCGATTTCGCACTCTGAATACGTCCTTAAACGACTTGTATCTACGCGTGCTTTGTTTTACTTCAATAATCCGGTTGCGGAAGACCGCATTGTGCAATCGTGTTGCTGCTGCAATGTGCGCAGTGATTTTCCAGCCCTCAATTTAACATTCATGACACCCGTGTTGTTGATTACTTTCACGGAAAACGTATTTCAGTAACCAGGGTTGAGTATTGTAACCATCCGTTGATCTACAAAAGTAGCCCTAAAGTTTCGATCATTGCATATCGTTTTGCACTCTGTAAATATCCTGTTACTACACCACTTTCTAATTGGCATTCGCTTTCCGTCCGAAGTTGGCTTATTGAATCGGAACTTTTGCTTCTCTGTGATTGGGATCCACTTATGGCCTGGTGTCTGATGTTGGCGTGAGCGGAAATTGGAGCTTCATGGTGAAATATTCAGCAGCCACATGAAGATAACGCCCTTCATGATGTGAATTTAGTTCAAAGCTTATGCACATGCCCTGCTCCCATCCTGGTTATCATAATCGTCAGATCGAAATAACCGTGAACTAAATACCCTGTAGCTATGTGCCCACCTACATCTGAGTGTTTTCGTCCCTGTAGCCCTTTCTTAGTAAGCCCTAACGTCGTTAGCAAGAAGCAGGGGAAGTTCCGTGATGCAGTAGATATGCGAATTTTCCGTCTCCAGGGTGAACACTTTGATGGCCAGTTTTGAGGGTCACCTTGTCGCATGCTGATGTAAAAATGCTATGATTAAGAATGGATATGTGAAGCGGGTGTGTGTAGTTCGATGACAACCGGTTGGTCATGTCACTTATCGACAGCTGATTTCCGTCGTCGACAGCTGGCGTCTCGCGTCGTGCCAAATCGGGCCAGCACATGCCCTATCGAATTGCAATCGTTCCATCTGCTGTCATTACTCATCGACTGGCCATTAGACCAGTAGACGGAAAAATGGCTGGCTGGCCAGGCGGCGAACTTTTCCATGGTGTCTGGCGGGCCGCAGGGTCGTGACGTTCGGCTGTCGTCGCTGCCGGGGCCTCACCTGACCGTCCAGGCCAGCGAGCTGAGCGTGGCGGCAGGATCAGACCACGCCTGCGCAGACCGGCAGGATCAGACCGCGCCTGCGCGGACCGGCAGGATCAGACCACACATGCGCAGACTGGCAAGATCAGACCACGCCTGCGCAGATGGGCAGGAGCAGATCACACGTGCGCAGACCGGCAGGATCAGACCGCGCCTGCGCAGACCGGCAGGATCAGACCACACCTGCGCAGACCGGCAGGATCAGACCGCGCCTGCGCAGATCGGCAGGATCAGACTGTGCCTGCACAGACCGGCAGGATCAGACTGGCAGGATCAGACCGCGCCTGCGCAGATCGGCAGGATCAGACTGTGCCTGCGCAGACCGGCAGGATCAGACTGGCAGGATCAGACCGCGCCTGCGCAGATCGGCAGGAGCAGATCACGCATGCGCAGACCGGCAGGATCAGACTGCGCATGCGCAGACCGGCAGGATCAGACCACCCCTGCGCAGATCGGCAGGATCAGACCACACCTGTGCAAACCTGCAGGATCAGACGACGCCTGCGCAGACCGGCAGGATCCGACCGCCCGTGCGCAGACCTGCAGGATCAGACCACGCCTGGGCAGACCAGCAGACGTACTCTCCGCCGCCCGTCTGCGCTACCCACTACGTGGTGTGTACCGTTACTAGGTGTTTGGAATGAGGCACAATATTCGTAAATGGCCGGTAAGAAGATGCTAATAAACCATTGCCGACATTGCCACTCACCATGTGCTAAGCGTCAGCAAAGCGCTGCTGTGTAAACGACACATAACCTGGCTCAAGAACTTGGCTGAATGTTTTGCCAAACTATTTCCGGCCCACAGAGCAGTCGGCGTCCAGGCAGATGCCTCTGCCAGGCGCGCAGCTTAAAGTAATGGGCCTAACTCTCGCTGGGACCGGTTATGCCCCGGATGCCTGTCCGGCGATAAGTGTCGATGAATAATGTCAGCAGGCTTAGGCAACCTTCGGCCGATTACCGCAGTACGCAGAAACACGCGATCGTCATTGTGTAGCATCCATAGAACCAGACGTAACATTGCCAAGGTTTCCAATGTATAAACAATGTTCTCATACGTAGAATAATGAAGGCTGGTCGGCCGGCTTGTGATCCAATATATCGTATTCCAACTATCGTATGCTGAATAAGAAGGTGGCTGGCCCTGCCCTAGCCTCATCTCCCAAAGAAGAGGGGGTGCCAAGCAATGGAACTGTTCCAAACCCATTTGCCAAAATAATCCTTTGCTTCACACGCGGGTAGCTTGTAACTCCCCTACCCCATGCAACAAAAGTGACAGGAGGACAGACGCTCATTTATCTGTGGGAGTGAATCCTCTCTACAAAGACTGCTTCGAATGTCTCATCCCCCACAGGGCTAACAGATGATCAAAACGCCATCAATCGGCAAAAACTGAAGGTGTTCTTTCTATGTTTGAACCCACCCATCATTCAAGACTTGCTTTGGAGGGAAGAGTTCATAGTATGAGCTGCCTGCCGTCAACCACAAGGACGCTAGAATCCAGAATTGTTCCGGCAGGGGAAGACGGGTGTAAAATTGTATTCAAAATGCTGTGAGTTTCAGAGATCAATTGCTGCGACATCACTCAATATTTGGTGTCTAAATTATTCAATATTCCTACACCGGGGAAAGAAACACATATGCCTAGTTACCGCGCTGAAGTACACACTTGCGTCGGAACTATCAGCCACAAAAATGTGTGATGTTTTTCTCGAATTGACTAACCTTGCTCAAAAGGATTCAAGTCTGGTAACACTTTTTCAATGCGGCGAATGACGGGTATCACCCACATGAAATTTCCGCCACGAGATAAGATGTCGCGCCATTTGTTCTGCTTTGGAAAATGATGACTTGGATAAGATACAGAAGGAAAGTGGTACCCACAAAAATTTGTATTTCATGCTTATTTTTAAGAACAGCTCCTCGGCTGCAGAGTTCCTGTTCACCTCAGGGTTAGCTGCTTTTCTATTCAAATGTTGGTCATTGGGGCAAAACAGACAAGCCTCTTGATACCTTGAAATAACTGGCCAAACTTAGAAGTGCCGGCCATTACATACAGCACGATGCATAGCGTGTTCTCAAAAACGTACACATGACCTGTTCTTTGTTAACATCTCACCCGGTTACAGTGCCAATTCTAATAAATAGGTTCCAAAAACCTTGCCGTTGCAACGAACATACATTTTCTGCCACAGGAAGCATTGATGAGCTATTAGGATTCATGATTCATAAGATTGTTTCATCACGATCATGTCAAGAACGGAAAGGTAATTTTAAAGCAGCAAAGACACGCAACAACAAAAGTGATGCAAATGCATCCTTACCGGCTTTGTTTGTACCATAAGGAACACTGCGACCATGGGAGTTGGATAAGTGGCAATACTCATGCTGGCTTATTTCTCGAACAGATTTTTCTTGAATCCAGCGCAGAATTCGAGCGCGTCTTTCATGATCCGTGACTCTCGTTAGAGGGCTCCGCAAGGCTAGGAAGAGTCTCTTGGACAGAAGTTTGTCACGGCCACATGTGCGCGTGACGTTTTTTCGTGAACAATGTCTGACAAGGAGCTAAATCTCTCTTCAGTCAGTTTTTGAAAGTGGAAGCGAGTTAAATAACGCGTTTAGCGTCACACATCTGTTAGCTTGGCATAAGTGACTTGATCCGTACGGATTTATTAATGTCGCGTCATCACAACAGCATAGTGAATGAAAACCAACGGGCTTCATTCCAGATGCTTTCACATACTCACCTTTTACACAATGCAGGTTATGAGGTTTTCCAACACATTGGCCCTGTGCCATCTCGAGCGATCTCTCACGGCGGCCTGACCAGCAGATGCAGAACAGCTGCAGGATTTCCAACACATTGGCCCTGTGCCATCTCGAGCGATCTCTCACGGCGGCCTGACCAGCAGATGCAGAACAGCTGCAGGATTTCCAACACATTGGCCCTGTGCCATCTCGAGTGATCTCTCACGGTGGCCTGACTAGCAGATGCAGAACAGTTGCAGGAAGACATCTGCTGGCTCCAGCGCACGTGCCGCATAGGCCGGTCTGCTGTATAGACGCCCGGTGTGTGTTCGGAAGAAGCCTCCTCCTCCCCCGCACTGATGCCCGATGGTTTTGGATAGTACCGCCCATTTGTAGCAGATCGATGTCTGCTATTTCCGGATGTTTCGCGTACGGCTCCCGCAGCCATTGCTGCTACGGTATGTCCTTAACAAGTCAGGCGCTGTCTGAATTAAAGAGAGTGTTGCACATTTCTTCTGGAGGAGCAATGTTAATACCTATCGGTGCAGTTTGCAGCCCTGCCCTTTTTAAGAGCAAAACACCTCAAGTTTCTGAGCTATACGCCGGCGAAAATTGGAAGTTTTTTCGGGGAGAGTATTTTAAGGTCAACTTGGAATTCATGACTTCACAATAACGCCATTCGAATCTTGTCATTCCATAAGTCATGTGGCGATCAAGGCCGATAAAAGTAGAATGGTCGTGTCGTTTATAGCCTGCGTTTGCGAGCACGATTTCCAGATGCCACGGCCGTCACTTTGCTCTTGATCAATGTTGTGCAAGGGACGGTGACGTAATCAAACATTGAGGTACTGAGGGGCATATTCACTAAACAGGAATATTGTGCTGTCTGGAGCAGTCTTTTCCAATTAAAAGTATACCAATGGTTATAAGTGAGCATATTTCATCATATCTGATGCTTGCTTCTCTATCTTCAAATGTGGATCATCCGCTTTCAGCTTACGCTCCCTCCCCCCAGGCTGAATGACAAGCATATTCCTAACCGAAGTTCCATACCCGAAAGCCTGTGGGCATTGCCTGTTTTTAAGCCTGTATAAGCCTAAGCCTATATGTTCCATAGGCTTACAATCAACAGGGCCCTAAACAATGCGGGTAGATTAATAAATCTACCCGCATAAATAATAAATAAAAAATAATAATAACTAAAAAGTGAATGCTATGCGCACCGCAGGCCAAAATGCATGCACCCATAACAACGTTATGACGCATGGCATTTTTGGAATGAAAAACAATTTAAGACTGGAGTGATAACCTAACTCCTCGTAGAGGAAAACCAGGAGAATAAAGATATAGATGCGTTGATGGCTATTCCCTTATTCACTTTTGCTAATTGTTTCGGTAAAGGCATGTTGCCAAAACATCAATGCATCCATATTTACACTCTCCTGGTTTCTCTCCGAGGAATGAGACTAGACTGCTGTGTTATCTATGTCAATAATGGTGCGCGCAAATGCACTTGACAACTTATGAAAAAATCATTTCATCAAGAGCCACTCTGAATGAAGTGATATCGTTGAATACGAACCAACTGCTGTTCGAATGCCGCGGATAATTATAAGTTCTTCTCCCTCATGTGTAACGTCCCAAGCAGACTTACCAACGGTGTTTGATTGGATCTTAATCGCAATTGCCAATCTGGTCAATGACACGGAGGCCACGACTTTTTCGGATTTGTGTTTGCGCTGCTGTCACCACAGTGTGATTTGCTCTCTACGCGGACACCACCAATCAGAGACGATGTCTGCGCTGACATCGCCAATCAGAGGCAATGCCAGATGCAAATGTAAAATTGGGTAGCGCCTGCGAGCCATGCTTTGCTGGGAACGGCATGCTTAACGCAGGAAAACTGGTATATATCTTTCTTAAATATCTTTCCGGAATACAACAAACATGATGCAAGCGAGCGAAGTTAATCCCTCCCTGGTCGTAGGTACATGGTTTACCGCCAAACCACTTGATATGTCACAAGTAAAACCCTTTATTTATCGACCTTGCCTGTAACACGCGCCGAGAAGCGTGCATGCCCCGTTCTGACTCGGGCTTCTCTCCTGCTTCCGTCTGCAGGCGGTGCCTACGGCGGTTCTCGCCGGCGCCCGGCACCTGATGGCGGACCGGCCGTGCCCGGTCCGCCTGCTCGCGCTGCTGGTGCCGCTGCTGCTGCCGCCGGCCGGCGCCCAGGCCCTGACGGCGGTCACGCCGTCGCTCAGCGGCGACCCGCTGGCGGTGCTCGGCGCCGGCGAGGTCCGCACGCTCTCCGAGCTGACGGAGCGGCTGGGGCCGCGGCCGCCGGCGGCGGCGCCGGCCGCGCCGCCCCCGCCACCCGCGCCACCGGCACCGCCGGCCGGGGACGGCGGCGCGTGGCTGCCGCCGGGACCGCTGCTCCCGCGCTGGCACTGCTGCCATCTGTCGGCCGACCTGGCGACGTGGGAAGTGAGCTGCGGCGGCCGGCCGGCCGGCGGCTGGCTACGGCCGCCGCCCGGCTGCTCCTGCTGCAACGCCACCGACGGCCGCGGCGGGGAGCTGGACTGCGTCTGCCACGGCGAGGCAATCAAGGCTGTGCCGCAGACGCTGCCGCCGCCCGTCAGTCTCATGTGAGTGTACCGCCAGACCCTGCCGTCAGTTTCGTGTGAGTACGCCGACGGACTCTGCGGTCACTCTCATGTGAGTATACCGGCAGACCCTGTCCATCGGTCTCATGTGAGCCGTCCCACATGGTCACTATGGTCTATGATATCCATCCGCAAATGGTCACTAGGCACCCATGGAGGATTGCACACGACCATGAGCGTAGCACGCGACTCGAACATCACCGATCGTTTCGCACCAGTGATTCAACACCCCTCTGCTTGGCCGGCGATCGGGGGCATTGTATCGTGACCAGAGCTCCAATACTTCGCGGCGGACCCCGACAGCAAATCTACGGATTTGCCGCCCAAAGGAGCAGGCTTGTCTCGCGGTTACGGAGCATATGATTTACAATGAGTGTGCTTGGGGTCGTGGTGGCATCATCACGGATCTACCCGGTGGGTCCGTAAGCGGCCCGTGCGGGTTTGGTTTCTCCGCTTGAACCCTGACGACGGGGCATTCGGACTACTCTGGCATGTTTGCATTTCCCTTTATGGCGGTGCCTCCGGCAATAACTTATGGCGTACGACAGCCTGTGACGTCACCGCGGTTGCCGAGCTTCGCCGAGGCCTGCCGGTCACGTCTAGAACCAGCTGCGTTTCGCGGCTTCTGGTGTCTTGGCAGGGAGGTCGAGTCTCAGCTGTGTGCATGGGTGCGACGTCGGTTTTAAGGTATATCCGAATCTGAGATCAAATGTGACGGTTGAGTCCAGCAGCCAAGGAGCATCGGGTTCCCAGCATGCGCAGCCACGGCAGACATGGGCGCAGCAGGCCCGTGACAAAATGGCGCACGATTTAGCGATCAAATCCAGGTTTGGTCTGAATTAACGTGATATCCAGATAAAGCAGCGTGCATAAGTATTCTCATCATCACACTTGCATCCTCTTTCGGGCTGTTTCTGCTGAATCGCCGTGAGACGCCCTCGGCCAGACATCAGACATAATACGATTGCTCGTACCGCTCGCTAGCAGGTCCTACGACACCACCTGAAAGCTGTAGTGATTGTCCAGCGGACTCGTTTGGTGTGAGCGCTCTAGGACCGTGCGGCCAAACCGCCCGACAGCCTAATAGCCCACTGTATATGACCGGATGTGTGCTTGGTGTTTTCTTCTCTTCCATGACACGTTACATTTACTTGATATTACGCTTACATGACACGTTATGTGCTAAAGTTGTTGAGTGCATTTGCGAGGAACATCATGCATATAGATAAGACAGTAGTAAAAGCCTTATTCAGTATTTCAGTATAAAAGCGTGAGCACTATTGATAAGTGATTTCAATATCACATATGTGTGGTTCTTTTTTAAGGAGTCGTTACAGTCAAACACCCCTCGGAGGATTGTTCGCATTCAGAGATAAATATCCACATAAAACCCGTCGGCATTTAAGAAGACACTTCCAGCGGTGCCCCGGATCCCTGATGAGGCACCGCCCAGAGTCGTGACATAAATTTGAAGGAGATATTTGAGTCAATGATCCCTCAAATATCTACAGTCAAACTGATATTCGTTTCGATAAAGGCATGTGAAATATCAGCACATCCATCTCCCTGTTTTTCTACAAGGAATAAGGCTATTTCAACAGTCCTTTCTTTGCACGTGGTATGCGGTAAAAACATCCGCTTCTGAAAAACGGCGTCTAACGGCGTCTGTCTGGGGACTATATCTGTCTGGGTGGAGAGACATCCCACTCACAGCCCTTACCTGCTTGTACCCAACTAGTGTACGGTTGATAAGGTAATCCACTGCAGAGGTTCCGATTTCCTCCTATTGAAACCAACACATATGTTAAAAGGGGTATCCCACCTTTTTTTCCTACTTTTTCACGTATTGATGGATCAGATGCGTACGATTCGATAAGCAACGCTAGTGTCCTCGAAATCCTTCTGAATAGCTCAAAATTTATATTTGATGTAGCCGCTCCTTGGGGACAAATCTCGTTCGACTCCCTGCTCACCGCTGTGCCAGTAATGCAGTCCATTCTCCTTGCTTTTCCAACGTATGCGTTTTATAAGATTTGCAACACATTAATGAGTCTAAATATTTGTGCAATAAATGCTATTGAAAGCTTGACACATTCTGTTAAGACGAAAATGTACACGAATATGAAGCCTATTTTCCACGAATTCCGCGAAAAGACATTATGGTTTTTATTTCTCCCCTATAGCTTTTACCTCAGTAGCTCTTTTCGGGGCTCACAGTGACTTTGGAAATGGAAGTATTACATGGTCCATAGTGAGGTACCGGTTCAAACTTCAACCAGTACGCTTCTCGATGACAGACCGCTGCCGCCTGCTGGCCAATTACAAGCGTACTTTTATCCGCACCAGTAGACCTCACCGCACGGCGGGTGTCATGACGAAGGTGGTCGCGACTGCAGGGAGAAGGGTAGTGCTGTTATGAGGCCTTGTTTGTTAGGCGTATTTTGGTGTTTACACCGTAATTTGTACTCGACATTAGATAAAATTGATATACTCATTATAAAGTTTCCACGGCGCTGCAGTAACACTATCCAGTGTAATCATTAGACGTAACTAGTCCTGAGGTTTCACCGGAGTATGTTTTTGAAATATGCCCGAAAGAAGAGCACTCTCTATTAAGTACTTGGTTGTGGGGGATATTCGAGGATAACTAATACAGGCGACATGGAAAAGCATGTTTAAGTCATAATCTTACCGGTTCAGATCTTTGAGGCATAAAATATTACGTCGGATCACGCCTGCGTATTACTGCCATCTCCCTAACAGACGTTGCCTTGCACCGGAAAATCAGCTGCGTGCTTTGGCCGTCAACATTGTTCTGCCTCTGTTCCTGTAACTTATCGTTTCTGATTGGCTTTAACCGGCAACTAACCAGTAACTAACCGGCTCTTGCCGGCTCTGACCGGCAGCCAACCGGAAATAACTGGTCCATGCCCTGTCAGCGCCCGCCGAAGTCGCAGAAGCCTCGCGCTTTTCAATTTCCGTCCCGACTCTGGACGGTACCCCACCAAGGCTGCGGGGCATCACTGGATGTGACTGCTTGATACCGACGGCCTTTATATGGAGGTTTATTCTATACCTGTATTTAAACTGTCATCCGAGGTGTGTTTGGCTGTAAAGGCTTTCCTAAAAAACACACATATATTATATTGAAATTATTTGTCAATGGTGCTCACGATTTAAACCTTGAACGAAATCCTGACTCCTTTCCAAAGTTAGCAAGGACATCTCTAAAGAGCAAGATATGGTGTATACTGTCATAATCTGACGTAATTTGCTAGTGACGGTTTCTTTTGACGAGGCTCGTACGAGACGATTACACGTATCAGTGGTGCGCATAGGTGGGTATTCCATAGGTAAGCATTTCCCAACCGTTTTCAAAACAAATTGTCCGATGATTTGGAGATAATGCAGGTTCTAAATCCCTGTGGGACGTATCGCTCAAATGCTGAAATGTTCCCTTTTTACTCACAGTTGGCTTCTTTCAAGATATAACAATGCGTGTACTCATGCATATATTTGGTCAATGACATGGCATTTAAGGTCATCAGAGCCTTACAACCAACAGAATGCTGTTCTTAGTCATTGGCTATTAAATATTGCATTGTGCCCCTGAAGGTCCTCATATCTACTGATGGCGCAACCCATGATTACTGCATTCAAAATGCATGATTACGAGTTTCAACACGCGCTCGGGTGGGGAGGGGTCAAATTGGTCCCCCCGAAGGTCTTTCCAGAATGGTTTCCGAACGGCGCGGCGAAGCCGCGCCAAAGTTTGCATAGCTGTAGAAAATTGAATAGCGGATCGTTTGAAATACATAATTGAGATGAGCCTTGTAAGATAGCTGCCCTATAGCAGGTCAAAATCAGGCCATGTTTTCAGAGAAGACAATTTCACGGGAATTGTCCAATCTGATACAATAACGGAGTATTTGACGAAGCCATACACCTCTGAGATGCTTTCTTAAGCACCATGAATATTGAATAAGCAAATTACATTGACCTGTGGTCAGGTATGAAGGTTAGACCAAGGTCAAAATCCAACCTGATTTATTGCTCCAGGGCTTGCTGTATGGTATAGTTTGTGGTGCTCATTTCGAATATTTGACAGCACGAACCACATAATACATCTTTCACTGACTTCTTAGAGATCAGTACAGGTCATTGACCAAAGATGACCTGGGCCGAAACTTTGTTTTAGGAACACACCGCCTAGCGTAATCTTTGTCGCTTATTCAAATGCAAAACTCAGAGCAGTCTTGTCTGATTTTGGTCACCATAACCTTGTAAAGGTCAAACAATATCATTGACTTTAAATGGTCTGGTGAACTTTCGCTTAGAAACAGTTGTCTAGATTCTGGGGGCACTTTTGAGACTTATCTGGAATTTTACCTTGTTTGACCTTATTTGACCTGAAGGTAATGACCTAGGAAGTTAAAATTTTGACCGAAGTGAGTTCACGTACAAGTGAAGACACCCGATACATTTGGTGCTTTTAACTTTCTTAGTTCCCGAAATCTCGGGCGTGTCAAAATGACCCCCTCCCTCACCACAGCGAAGTGTATATAGCCGGCCACCCTGGCGCGTGTTAGAAGGAGCAGGACTCAAAACTTAGCCTGTGGGATTCTCAATGTCTTTTTCTAATAACCTGATCAGCCTCCTGTCTAAGATTTGCATATGATCATGGCGCCTGGCTGCTTTAGCTCGTTGTACAATATGACACACTTTAAGCTTTCTGGGGACGCCTTATATGTTGGCAAAACATGATGCATTCATGTTGGTGAGTATTAGACCCAACCTTTTGAACATACGGATTTCTGCGATCGGAGCGCACGCTAAACAGCGCTTTTCGCGTGAACCCTGACCCGTACCACCCGATAGTGAAATTTCAGGCCCATGACAGAATGTTGCAGTGAAAGCTTAACGCATCGCATTGCTGGGCACGGTCAGCCCTGCCCTCTGACGTCATCGGACATTGGACGCGG